TTCTTTCTGAGGACCTGCCTTCTTCAATAATTGAGTCCTGTGTCAGAAAACTGGCTCAGGCAGCACTAGAGTAGGGTAATAGCTTATGACTTTTGGGGGGATGGTTGTCCTTAGCTTACTGATCATTTATCTTTCATTTTTTCTATTGTAGATGGTGAGCAAAACCAGTGGTGTGCTTGCAAGATATGACTGCTAAATCTTCAGGATTTTGTGAGCCAATCATTAAACATAATTATTACTAAAAATTACATTATTTAAAGTTAAAATTAATAAATTACATTAAAAGCAAAGGCAATAAATACTTGGAACTCATCAATTTCTGAATATTTTTATTATATTTTACAATTATCTATGCATGAAATTATTTACATCTATTATATCTGTATAATAGAAACACTGTATACTGGTGTACTACTGCGCATCTCTTCTCAACTCTGTATTCAGTGATGTCATATTAGTAGCTCAAAATCAGCCATGGTGAAAGTAATTATAACACAGAAATCAGCAAATGTTACAAACCAGGGCATTTTTTTTTCTCTGTAGCACCAGTTGTTAAAGACCAGCACACAAGTAGAAACATCCTTTTTGGCTATCTATCTGTTTTACCTCTAGGAACACTTGACATATCTATACATTCTGCAGGTCAGTAATCTTGCATGCTACTCCAAACTCAACCCTCATTATAGTAATTGTGCCCACCTTGTTTCACAGTTGAGCTGTGCCACTTGACCTCTACTACTTCAAGATCCTATCACTACCAATGCTATCTGTAAATCCAATTCTGTGGTAACACCTCCTATTGTAATCCTTGGCCTACAGAGAAGAACCACTATAAGCTTTTTAGTGATGCTTATGTGCATTCACCAGTGCACACCTTGTTGCTTTGTTAATAGGCTGCCCATAGAACATAGTCATTTGCTGGATTTTCTGTCCATGTAGAGTATATCCACTATAGCATGCCCACTTCTCTGAGTATTTTTATCTTCTCTTCAGCTATCTTCCATAGCAATTTTGGCATTTTGCTCTGCTTAGCATGGGCCATTGCTTTCTTCAATTTTCTTGGAGTTATTTTAGCAGCTTATCAGGACTGTCTCACAACATTTTGCCAAGTTATTAAATTTGGTGTCCAAAGAGAGTACTCCAATGTGGATAAAATCTCCCTTATTCAGCTTTGTGTTTCTCTTTGATCCAGCACCCTCATAATCCAATCCCCTTATGTACTCTGAAGGTTGTCATTACAACAAATTATATTGGTTAGGTCTGAATTCATTCTGAATATAATCTCTTTTCTCTCTAATCAAGGCTAGCAGTTAACCTTGGTTGTTGGCCTTATGATCAGAAGGGGAAAGAAGAGATGGTCATAAGGTGTGTGTGTAGTTTCTTTGATAGCAGAGGACTCAGCATCATCTTGACACAAGGAGAAAGGCTAGACCTTAACAGGGAGAGCACACCACTTTCACAAGTTTAGGGGGTTCAGCATGTAGAGGGTTCTAGTTTTTTAAGATCTTTGAGAAAGATTTCGTGAAAAGACACACTGCAAATTGTGGAAAGTATTTGTAATACATATATCTGACAAAAGAACGGTTTGCTTATTATTTATATATTATGTTACAACTCATTACATATATGTATATTACAACTCATAAAAAGAAGACAAATAATCCCTAAAAATGAGTGAAATATTTGAGTAGAAATTTCAGAAAAAAAGATGTATAAATTGCCATAAGCACATGAGAAAATGCTCAACGGATCTTTAGAGATCTGCAAAATAAAACTATATTTAGATTCCACCACCTACTAGAATGGTTGAAATTAAAAGACTGACCATATCAAATGTTGCTGTTGATGTGAAACAACCAGAACTGTTGTATAATAATGGGAGGAATGGTACCACCTCTTTGGAAAATATTATATGTTTATAAAATTGAACATGTATTTTCTTTTTTAAAACAGCTTTATTGATGTATAATTGACATACAAAAACCTTCAGATATTTAATGTGTACAGTTTGATGAGTTTGGACATATGCAAGCATCCACGATACCATCACCACAATCAAAGTAATAGACATATCCATCATCTCCAAGATTGCATGTTAAGTGTTCTTAATCCAAAAAAAAAGTGGTGGGGGACACAAACATATATTTTCTATATGACCTAGTAATTCCTATTCTGGATATTTCCTCAAAAGATTGAAAATATATGTCCACAGAAAGACTTTTATACAGATGTTTATGTTGGCTTTATTTATGACAGCCAAAAATTGGAAACAACTCAATGGACTAATGGATAAACAAATAATTATATATTCACACAATGAAATACTACTCAAAATAAAAAAGGAAGGAACTGTCGGTCTATGCAACAACATGGATAAAACTCAAAAACATAATGCTGAGCAAAAAACACCAGACTCACAACAGTGCATACTGTGTGAGTCCACTTATATAAAATTCTAAATCCAGCAAAAGTCATCTCCATTGACAGTAGGTTAGTGGCTGCCTGGTTCCAGGGGTAAGGGGATGAACTGCAAAGATACATTAGGGAACATTTTGAGGTGATGGAAATGTTTTATATTTCGAGTCAAATTTTATATCCTAACTTTTTTCCCTGAAGAACAAAACTAAATTTCACTCTATAGTGCAATCTCTGTATTCTCCTATATGTGAATTTCTAATACATTTATTATATTCAGAGGTGATATGAAATCATTTGACAATTCTGAGGACAGATTTGAAAAGGAAATTATGTCCAAATAACCCAACATTAGCATAGTAGTATTATCATCTTGAGTATTAATGATAACATTCTGGGTACTTTCTAACTCTCTTTTCCCTTTTCTCTCTCTCTTTCTTTTCTGTGTGTGTGTGTACGTGTGCATGATGTTTGTGTTTGAGTGAGAAAATGATTTTTGTTCCTGTTTCAGTAGCCAGTTTAAAGCACAGCTTTCTTTTCTTTGATTTCATCACCTTTAAGATGGTTCCTTAAAACATGATGATTAATCCATAATGTCCCAAAGCATGTCTTTTAATTAATTAGTATTCTTATCTCTTATGGCTCTGTAAGGACACTAATTATGTACACTCTGGGGACAACAGAAAAAAATGCCACTTGAATATTTTTTGCTCTACGGTTTGTCTTTTAAGAGAAGAATCTATAAGTTTGTTATTCTTCACTTTTTAGTCAACTTCCCTTCTTCTCAGTAAAGCTTGCTTGTTTTCTTCCCCCCGCCCTACAGAAAAAAAATTGTGGGTAGATAATAGTTCAACTCAATCATAGTCAGATGATTACTTTCATTTTCAGAAATACTGCATAAAAACTTGCTTTACTTTTCAGCAGCAGCATAACTCTAGTTTGGAGCTGTGTTGTAAAAACAACAACAACATTTTTATATTAAAGTTAAAATTTTGAAGAGAGGTTTTGGAAGATGACACAAAGCCCAGAGGTAGCTGCCCCGGCTGAAGAAGTCACAGCAAGAAATGATAATAGCAACCAAAGAGCTGAAAAACGAAAGAAGCAAGGTAAGGACATTTCCTATTGTTCAAAATGAAAGTTATTTATTGAAATTATGAAACATAATGTTAAACAAAAGCCTTTAAAAACATGAAATGGGTTTTGTAGTTTCATCCACCAAGGCAAAAAAAATACTTTTTTTAGTTATCGCCATAAATGAAAATTATAACAAAACTTAGATTTGTAATTGACTATTTTGTCCTTATAATTCAGATTCCCTTTATCTTATCTTAATTGATAATGGAGAGAGATTAACCACAGCTTAAAACTGTTCAAGATTTAGTTTCACTTTGACTAAGTATTTAATAAAACCAATACTGGAGAAGGTATTAAATTTTATCCACATACTCATTCAATGCCCAAAATGCATACATCATATGAAAAAGTTGGCCAATATTTCTAATATGTTGAAAGCTTGTTTATGGAGAGTAGAGTCAAGATAAACTAGACTTTAGAGGTTCTTAATCACAGAAAGATTATCTACCTATCCTACTTCTATCTAAACAATTGTGGGTACCCTGATATCCTTAATGATGTCTCTGGCAACCTTAAGAAGGATAAGGAAAGAAAAGGTGCTAAAAAAAGAAAAGAAAAAAGAAAACCTTAGAAAACAACTTGGTAGCATTGGATGTATTAAATAGCAAGATCAGAGTATGTAAGATCCAAATTCTAAATCTAACAGGCAAATCTTCAAAGTTGTTTTAACAGGGCTGTTTATAGTCAAAATATGGTGAAGAAGGGAAAGAATATGCTAAAATGTCTTAAATGCAACAATCTATGATTTAGGGACTATGGTGAGTTTTAAACATTTGCCATTTAATTTCAAGTTGTACATGCAAGTTATCATTTCTCGTACTGTCAGCATGCACATGCCCTTCTTCCTTCCTCTTGGCTCAGAGGCATTTCCTCTTTCGTAAATCCATCAGTGATTCTCTGACTCATCCCTTTAATAAGCTAGGATTTTTTAAAAAATGAAAGGGTCACTGATTTCAAGCACTTTAGGTTTTCTTTCAATAATCATTCTGGAGGGAAGGATACCAAATGAGCCCTACTACCTACTTAAAATAATGAAGAGGAAAACATATATTAAGAAATTTCATTTAATATAGCAGTAAATAACTTTCACTCCCCCCCACACACAGTAATTAAAATGTGGAAAGATGGGAGAGCTAACACAGAAAAATTAATAACAAAAGCTTTCTTTTATTTAATTCCTGGTATAAGCCAGAACTTTTGAAAACATAGCACATCTACATCCATTTAATGGATGAAGAGATATAGGCTCAAATGAGATAAGAAAATAAAATTATACATTGTAAATATTTGACCAAGATTTTGAACCTGTAATATTTATAACTGTAATATCCTTTTGTTCACTATGCCAATTCATGGACAAATAGAATACCATAATGACATATTGACTTGACTGATGGCATAGAAAAGAGAAAACAAGTATTGGATTTCTTGACACCTAATATTTGAGGAAAATGAATAAATTAATAAGGAAATGTTTGAAAGGTGATTAAAAACCTCATTAGGAAAAACCTGGACTCAAGTTCGGAACGGAGGCACATACAGCCCCAAAAAGGCTGAAAAGACAGATGTATGTTCTGTTTCTCCTCTTTTTGACCTTTGCTACATTGGAGGTCTGGTCATTTCTCCTACCTGGGAGCAATCCCTCCATTTGTACTTCAGACCACAATCCTTCTAGCCTATGCAAGAGTTATTCTTTTTAATTTAATTATTCCCTCCTCCTCCTGCCTGCATCAGCAATCTATCCCTTTCACACTGAATAATCCCCAAATGCATGGAAACAATATTTGTTATATCTTTTCAAAAAATCCTGCTGTAACTATTCATCCCATTCCAACTCACTCACTCTGTTTGCTCTGCTTCACACGGCAGAAGCTCCCTGAGAGTCCACACGCTGATTTCACTTCCTTCCTTCCAGGAATCTGACTTCCTTCCGCACTACTCCTTAAAACCACTCTAGCAAGACCAATGACCTTCACGTGCTCCATTTGAGTTTTTCTACCTCCACTGCTACTAGTCTTATTTAAGACACCACCATAATTTAGTTGGTGAGTTATAGCCTCCTAAATAGTCTCTCCACCCCATACAGACCTTCTAAAAACACAGATCTGGTAATGTCAAACACCCTTCCAAAAAAATCCAGTGGTTTCCCATCATACTTAGAGGAAAATCAAGTTCTTTCCCGGGGCCTTCAAAGCTTAGCATCATTTTGCTCTTGTTTACTACATAATAAAATTATATTCTCCTCTGCTACCTCTGACCTAGTCACACTTGTTACACTTTGCTACATTCTAAGTTCTTTCCTGATTCAAGGCACTTGTACTTGTTCTCTTTGCTTGAAGTGCTTTCTCTTGTTTATTTTGCATAGATAGCCACTGCTCATATTTTAGGTCTTGGTTTTGATGTCATTTCCACGGAGTGGCCCTCCAGACTATACTTTTTAGTCTCTTTCTCCTTATCAGTCTGACACCCTGTTTATTGCCTTTCTAGCACTTCCTTCAATCTGTATTTTTAACTTCTTTTTTATTAGTTTATTGTCAGTCTTTTCCACCAAAAGTAAGTTCCAGGAGGGCATGGATTATGTATTTTTTGCTTACTATTACATTTATGGGAACTAGTTTGGAGTAGGTTATTAACAAGTAAACATTTGTTAAAGGATGAACGAATAAACACAGTACTGGTTCAAAAGTGAAGCTTTGCATATGCTACAGTTCATGCTTATTGTATAGCTTTGAAATTCTGGATAATCAGGGGGTCAGCCCGGTGGCCTAGTGGTTAAGTGTGCGCGCTCCACTTCGGAGGCCTGCGTTTGCAGGTTCGGATCCCTGGAGCGCACTGACGCACCGCTTGTCAAGCCATGCTGTGGTAGCGTCCCATATGAAGTAGAGGAAGATGGACACAGCTGTTAGCCCAGAGCCAATCTTCCTGGGCAAAAAGAGGAGGATTGGCATCAGATGTTAGCTCAGGGCTATCTTCCTCAAAAAAAAAAAAAAGAAAGAAAGAAATTCTGGATACTCAGAAAAAACGCACAGCTAATGATAAGACTTTTCGGAAATTTGGCAGAAATATATAAAGTAAAATATAACTCCATAATGATATTTCTCAGTTAAAATAGTAACAGTTTGGTGGCTCAAAAATGATGCTGATATTCTCTTTACTGCATTCCCTCTCACTCCTTATGGTAATCTATAAAAATCAATTTTTTATGAATTTTTATGGCTACCACTATTTTCATGTATTACTCATGAGGGTATAGATTAGTACCACACTTCTGGAAGAACATTTAACCAATATATGCCAATTTATTTATTTTTGAAAATGTTTCTTAAGAAGATAATTAGACAAATATGCAAGATACATTAAATTACACTTATTCTAGCTTTGGTTTAAAAAAGGGATGGAGCAGCCTAAATATGCATCAGAAGAGGGTTAGTTTTTTGTTTTTTTAATGGTATAGACATGTGATAGAATGCTATCGGCCATTAAAATTATAATGTCAAATTATACTTTTACATGATGTATAAATTTAGCTATTGCTCTAAATGAACAATCACCCCAAAATTTAGTGTCTTAAAACAACAATCATTGTATTGCTCATGGTTCAATGGGTTAGGAATGTGGACAAAATACAGTGGGGATGGCTCATGCCTCCTCTACAGTATGCCAGCTGGTGTATTTGGGCAGGGACTGAGGATCCAAAATGTCATCACTCACAGATTTGAGCCTTAGTGGTTGGTTTTAGATGTTTATCCTCCATACTCTCTCTCTCTCAGATTTCTTATTTGGTTGCTGGGATCTGTTGGATGGTAAGCTTGGCCTTCTTCAGATGGAGGGTGAGTTCCAGAAGAGTGATAGTAGAAATTACAAGGTCTGTTAAGGGCTGGGCTCTTAAGTCCCAGAATATATTTCTCCCACATTCTATCGGTCCAAGTAAGGCACAAGGCCAATTCATATTCAAATGTCAGGAGATACAGTAAATCTCTTAATGGGAGGAGTAGCAAGATCCTGTGTCAAAAGGGTGGTGGACACAGGGAGGCGTGATACGTTGGGGGCCATTTTTAATAGTCTGCCACACATGAGAAGAACAAATTGTTAACTGAAACTATTAGAGTATAGAACAATGGGTACATGATAGTTGTACTCATATAAAATTATGTATATTTGAGAGGGAGGTTATATGTGTGATAGTGGGATTAGAGAAATATATGGATGGAAGGATGTTAACCCAATTGATAATACTGTTATCTCTAAGTAGTGTAAATTTAGATGTATTTTAAATTTCATTTCTTTCATATATCCACTAAGGAAAAAGTTTATTTAACAAAAGAGTAACTAATTCTTCACTAGAAGAATAAAGTAATGAAATGAAAAAAAAGTAATGATAAATGCTCTCAATAAGTTTATATCTATCTTAAAGTAACTTTTATAGTTTTTTAAATTTCATAAAATTTTACAACAAGGATGAATACTTTATAATCACATAAAATAATAAAAATGTTTCATTTCAAAAAACTTATGCACCATATTGTTTTCCTAAGTGGGCACTAACAGAAGAAAAACAATTCCTCACAAAAGATATGTAAAGAGATTTATTCTGTTCTACTAATTTTGCACATGAGGAAATACAGGACCAGAAAAAGAAATAATGATTTGTCCAAGTTCCCATTGCTTGTTTGTGGCAAAAATCTCTGTCTCAAATCTTTGGATTGATTATTCCATGACCCTTCAAATATACTATGCTATCTATCCTTTACAATAAACTTGTCATTAGTTAGAAAGCAGATTTTCTTTGAAACATTCAAGGAATGTTAGGATGAGCTGATATTTCACCATAGAGGAAGGATATGAAGGCCTGGGCGTGGCTCCAGGCTGAGGAAATTCTATGCTAAAGAGCCATATGTCTTTCATTCCTTGGGCTATAACAGTAAAATCCATGGTAACACTTGGATTGGATAGATATAAGGATGTCCTGAGAAATTTCAACCAAAAGAAAAGAACAGATATTTTTCCATATGACAAAGAAGAAAAAGTATGTTTTGTGCCATCTCCTTGTGAAAAATAAGAATAAAAAAGTCTGTTAGGTATGGTTATGAATGCAAATTTAGTCTTTCTTGTACCTGTTGCTTAATCTAAATGTATTTTTTTTTTATTTTTCAGGTACTAAGAACAAGAAGCTAAAGTGTTCTGTCATACTAAATGTAATATTTGCAATATGTTTAATTGTTTATATTCCAATTAGTTTAACACGTGAGTTCATTACATCCTTTATTTCTTCACTTGTTTTTATTTCAGGACTTCCTATTGTATGATCCTTTTCTTTCCTATCTCAGTTATGATCTTTTCTCATTGTTCTCACTTCCTTCTCATTATTCATGATACATTTAATAGGTATCAATGAATGAGTTATCATGAATTACATAACCTATGTAAGGCATTGGGAGATGCGAAAATAAGACAGAATTGTTCACCCTGATAATCTCACATTCCATTCAACTTTCCCATGTGAATGGTAATCACTATTTTGACTTTTATTGCCATAGGTAAGTTTGGCCCATTTAAAAAGTTTTATGTGAATAAAATCATGCAATTTGTATGTATCCTTTACATCTTGTTTCTTTTGTTCCACATTATGCTTGTGTGATTCTTCCATGTTATAACACGTCACAGAAGTTCATTAACGCACTGTCACAGAAGGGGGTTGGAAAATTTTTTATATAAAGGACCAGATAATAAAAAATTTAGGCTTTGTTAGCCGTACATCTCTTTTGTAGCTACTCAACTCTGTATGTGTAGTGTAAAAGCATCCACAAAAGATATGTAAACAACTGAGCATGGCTGTTTCAATAAAATTGAAGACAGAAATTTGAATATTATGTAAATTTCATGTGTCAAAAAATATTATTCCTCTTTTAATTACTTTGATTTTTTCATTATTTTGATTATTGTGAAATGTAAAAATCATTCTTAGCTCTTAATTTGGCCTCAGACTGTGGTCTGCAGATCCTTGCTTAGAGTACTCCGTGCTATATATTAATTTATTAATCATTCTACTTTTGATGGACATTTGAATTGTGCCACATTTTGACTACTTCAAACTGTGCTGCTTTGAATATCCTTATACTTTTAGTCTTTTAGTGAATAGTGGACATCATTTGAAATATACTTGTAAGAAGAATTGTTAAGTCATAGAGGATGCATAGATTAGCTTTAGTAGATAATACCATAGATAGTAGATAATCCAACCAAAAATATATTAGAATGTCAGTTGCTCAATGTACTTATCATTTTGCTGTCAGTTTTACCCATTTTTTCCATTTCAGTGATTATGTGTTGATATCTTATTGTGGCTTTCATTGATATTTTTCTGATGACCAATACTGTTAAGCTCCTTTTCATGTTTACAGCTCATTTAGTAACAATATTTTATGATAAGCATGTTCAGATACTTTGCCCATATTTTAATTGAGTTGTAAAAATTTTTTAAT